CTTGAGTTTAGCAATTGGAATTTAAATCCACATCCCATATCTAATCCTTATGACCTTAGTAAATTAGTAAGACCCTCAAAATAATTTTAGGAAGGCCATTTTAGATAAGCCAATAGTCCATGACCCTTCAAGCTTAGTTTAATATCCTTTAAAAGATGAAACCGAGGTGCGCCACGCCAAACAAAAATGCACAAATTGCGGGGCCCTCATTAAATGCTTATATTAAAATACTTAGAATTCGGGCGTGCCGTTTAGTGAATTTCACGACCTCCCGCAAAGATAATAATACGCTAGCCACTCTAGGCGCGCTTTTAATAATTTTACCTTCCTAAACTCGGGTTCACATTTATGTGACCCAAATCCAAATCTCAACGAAGTCGAAATGTGTCAAAAACCGTGGGTGCATTTATGTGACGTGGTTCGAGACGCGATTTCACGACGTTGCAATCCTCTTTAAAAATAAATAATAAAAGCGGTTTAAATTTAAAAAGCACATAAGTTAAAACATGTATAAAAATCAGATTTTAGCCATTTATAATAATTTAAGCGACCGTGCTAGAACCACGAGATCCGGGGGTGCCTAACACCTTCCCTCGGGTCAACAGAATTCCTTATTCAGAATTTCTGGTTCGCAGACTCCAATTGGGAAGTCGAAATTTTCCTGGATTTGGGATTTAAATTAAATCGGTGACTTGGGACATCCAAAAGCCAATCCTTTCCCAATTGGCGACTCTAAAAACCGAATAAATAATCCCATTTCGAATAATGTCACTCTAAATGGAAAAACTTCCTTATACATTATCCTTCGGGGTAGGTGTGTAAAAAGGAGGTGCGAGATTACTTAAGCAATTGACCTCCAGCTCGGTGACCTCGAGATGGACCAAGAACAATAAAGTAAGAACAATCAAGCAAAAGGACAGCTCTGATGAACAATAAACGAGAAAGATAGGATAGTATATTCTTTGCCAATAATTAGATGATGTTACAAATGATTAGGGTCCCCTTTATATAATAGGAAAACCCTAAATAAGGTACATTTTTATTTACAGTAAGGAATATTATTGGTACAGCTGTCTAACCGCCTAGTACGGAATCGTACAATTCTATTCCGGGATTTGCGCCATGATCTTGGGGACGTGACAGGAATCTCGCTCATTCTGTTAGAAATCCATGACGACATTATTTCGAGGTCGAGCGTACTCGGCTTCGGTATTCCTCGCACTCCGATCCTCGGGCCTTGCATCCTATCTTTGAGCTCGAGTCTGATCCATCGGGCTCAAACGCGACCTTACCTGAACTCGGGCTTGGGGCGACCCCTCAAACATATAGATCGTAGGCATACAATCTTGACCGTATACAAATTCTCTTTTAGTTAGTTTCGCAAGACTGATTTATTTTGTGTGATTGAGTTAGCTACTGCAACTACCCGTGGCTTCCACTCACCCAAACTTAGAAATGAAAAATAAAATATATTTGTATATGCATACATTTGTATGAGCGCGTGTGCGCGACCATAAATTCATTCCAAACAACCTATTTTACGAGTAAATTTCACAAATGCTTATATAACTATGACTCTTTTCATCAAAGTCATATAATTATATTTTCACACAAAAATCACAATTGCTGAAAAACATAACTGATGGATGAAATACCTTTTTACTCTGTATTTTCTAGTTTTTATATTTAGTCTAATAAGTATTGACCCAATTAAAAGAACCTAGCTTTTCAATAACTCCTCTTAATATGGTAACAACTTTGCATACTGGGTTTCCTCATCTCCATTAATTAACTTCAAGATTTGCTAATAGGTATTTTAGTTTATAGTTCTACATTTTAGGCATTTAGGTAAAGAACATGCTCGTCAGTCGTCCCTCTATCTTACATTTGATTGAAGTTTTATTGTTGCTTACTTCACCTTTATTTATCTAAATTGTTATTTATAAACTTTTATTTTGTTTAAAAAAAATTAAGTATGTGAGTCGCAATGGTCTATCTCAAGCCCGAATAATAGAAAAGGAATTGTGCTAACATCCTGCGTAAAAAGAATAGTTTCTATTTTAACATGATTTTTGTTACTCTATATATTTGAAATATTCCTGTGTATCTTCAACTTTAGGAATTTTTTTGTTCTTATTTCCATATTGATATCTTTTTTGTATTTCTTGATTAGGTTGTCTTCTTAATAACAGAATGAAAGTGGTATGTGGATGTAAAAATCATAAATAATAGAAGGCAGAATAGGCTGCTAGACACTTGTAATTGTAGGCGTTTGTCATCCCGGTCCTTATACTCAACGAAGTTTCATCCAGGAACTTATAATTATTCAAAATCAGTATTTTGAACCCCTCTGACCATTGACCGAGCATATGTGGCAACTTGATGACTGAGTTGTACAAAATGCGTATATTTCACGCGTATAACGAGCGTGAATGTAAAAATTTATATTAAAAATAATTAAAAAAAAAGGAAGAAGAAGAAGAAGACAAAAGAAATTAAAAAACAAAAACATACTGTAGTATGTTTCTTTCTGGGTTTTCACCGTGACCCACCCCTTCCCTTCCCCTGTTCTTTTTTCTCTTTATCCCCTCCCTTTCTCGTTCTTCCCCAGCCCTAGTACCAATTCTTTTTCTTCCCCCACATTTCTCGTTCTTCCCCATCCCCTGTCCCATTTCTTTTTCTTTTTCTTTTTTTCCCCTTCCTGTTCTTCCCCAGCCCCTGCCCCTTTTCTTCTTTTTAAAATATCTTTCATAGATCTGATTTTCCTTTGTACGGTCTAGTTAATTATCTGTTTGCCATTATTTGTTTGCTGTGTGAATATTTATTTTTAGTACAAAATAGTGTAATTTGATTGATAGAAATTTTTAATTTTTATTACTCTCGTATGGTTATTGTTATATAGGGATGAAGTTAAATTTACTAAAATATGAGGAACCCTTTTCTGGGAAGCAAGATTTTAATAGGGGAAGGAGCTGGATTTAAAGCTAGTGAAATCGAGAATGAGTGAAGATGGGCAAAAATGGCGAGAAGGGTAACGGAATTGGATTGCTACAATGGTTGACCAACTGTATTTTAGAGAGAAAAAATATGGCGGAGATAAGGTATTCAGGTAGAGGTGGGATAAGCATTCTTATGGAGGAATTGGGAATGGGAGAATACTGTTCATGGTGTTATCTGGTGGCTAGATTCAGGCTGAGGTTAAGGAGAGGATGATGGTGGAGAAGAAAGAAAAATAAATAAAAGGTTTAAAAAAAGGAGGGAGGAAAGATAAAAAGTTTTTTTTTTCATGTAATATCTTTTTTAAATGCTGATGTGGCTTTTTTTATCTGACGTGGATTCTAGTACCATGCGATTGAGGGACACGCAGCGTCAGAAGGGTTTAAAATATTGATTTTGAATAAGTGTAAGTGCCTGAATGAAACTTTATTAATTATAGGAACCGGGATGACAAATGATAAGAAGTATAAGTATCTATTAGNCGAATAATTGGTTTGACGAGACAGAAGATCACATCCATGATTAATAATTATATATCACAATATGAATTAAAATAAATTAGTAATATCCTGACGCTTTATATTTCATTATAATGTAATATTTGCGTATGTATTTGAATGTTATTTTTGCAATTTTAAGAATCATTTGAATGATGTTTATGTTGTTGAAGTAATTTGGTGTTGTCAAATAGAACTGGAAGAATAAGTATGATTCAAATTCAAAAGCTCATAACTCTCAATCAATGATGAATTCTTTTTCATCATTTCATGTCTTTGGGAGGAAAACTATAATCCTTGAAACTTAGTTTCCAACAATATAATTCAAATGATTCATCATTTGATCGATTAAGGGAATTTTGATCTTTTCTTGTGGAGCTATAGAGCACAGCACATTATATATAGATGACTTTTGTGAAAGTAATTTAAGACTTAAGTTCATGTTGTTATCTTGAATTCATACGTGTTCCATACTACTACAAATGAATGACTGATGAGGTAAAGCTTGATTTATGATATGAGGGTTGAGATTTTGAAGTTCTACACCATTAGTTGAATGTATGATTTCTGAATGATAAGTATATAACTTGAGGAATTAATTGATAATTGCCAAGTCTGAGTTAGAATTTAACCGCTGATATGCATTAGTACAAGACAAGGAAATAAAGTGAAAGGGCATATCCAGAAAGGAAAGGAAAAAAAAGTGAAAGGGCATCGCATATCTATTACGTAACTATTTACGATTACTTTAAAAGATGCGAATTTTTACTATCAATTCATACTTTGTCAAAACCTTGTCCGCACGAAGATCGAAGATGTCTTGTACAATAATGTTAAAAACAAGTCATTTTATAAATGATTAACAGCCGGCCAATAGACCTTTCTAAAGGAAAAGTCATTTTAATTTAATGTAATAAAAAAATATCCTGCAAAATCCATGACAGTGGTCTAACACATAAAATCCTCAGATGATTGGATGGACGGCTCAACTATGAAGAAGACTAACATCCAATAAAAATGCTTGACCTTTATCACTAATTGCTTTCACTCCATTCTATATCTAAAGGGCAGTAGGTAAAGAGGATAAGTTTGCTCTGTGTGTGTGTGTGTTTTTTTTTTATATCTAAAGGGCAGTAGGTAAAAAGGATAAGTTTGCTCTGTGTCTGTGTGTGTTTTTGTGTGTGTGTGTGTGTGTGTGTGTGTGTGTGTGTGAGAGAGAGAGAGAGAGAGAGAGAGAGAGAGAGAGAGAGAGAGAGTGGAAAAAGAAAAAAGAAAAGAAGACGTTTGGCAACTACACAAGTGAGCCTCACTAAGAGGGAAGAAACTAGCATGTCAATGATAAAAAGATATACAATACCTTTGCTACTATACACAAGTCTTATCCAGTGATAATAAAGTAAGATGTAATCCTTTTTTTTTTAAAAGATATTTGAGGGTAAATAACCATATTAAACATGTGGCAGTTATAAGATTGACCAAAAGATTACACAGAGAATGCTTGATAAATTTGACCAAAGACAAGAAGTAAGCCAACATGGCCATCTCTATGAAATCTGTAGATGAAGTTAAACCAAAAAATATGTATAACCAGATTCATTCCTCAACATGTCCTAATGGAACACAAAAGATGGACTGATTAGTTCTCCAATGAGGCAAATGCAGAAGCAGTTCCTTCTGTAACTTAAAAACATAACATTCCCATTCAGAAACTGCAGCTGAAAAAGTAAGCCAGTTAAATTCATAATCCATTTCCTTGATGGGTCTCGAATTTCTAAAGAAACCTTCCGCCAGTTGAAGATCCTTCAGAAACGCAGATTTAAGATGACCTATTTCTGTTTTTTGATTCAGGGAAACTGGAATTACATTTGGAGTTTGAGTAGGAGTTGGAGTTGTTCCTTCGACTTTTGTCTTTAAACTGGAGAACTTCCAATGATAGAACTGCACCAACTATCACACAAAGAAGTTGAATACAAAATAGACCCACCAATTAATCAAATACTAGTATATATGCTTTTTTATAAGGAATACTAAGTCTATATGCTTCAATCATTTGACGACTCATTTTCTTCTGTTTTAGTATGTGAATCAGTATGCAAAATTTGATATTCTGATCGTGACATTCGGTTTAAACTTGGAAACTTCAACTTCAAAAACCCTCCCTATCAGGATCAAAGAACTGATGCAAAATTCAGTAAGGTGCTTGCTCTTTTTCATGTTTCACTATGTCTACTGGATTGAAAAGTAGGAAGAATGACTAAACAGCTAGATATTTCATAAAGTTCACACCAGATTAGGAATATTTTACATGATCTCCAATGATATAATATTGAAAAAGCCATAATAATCTTTTCGAGGATAAGATTAAAGGGAGGTACCTGAAGTGCATGCATTATATTAAGAAATTGGGTCTCGAACAATTCGCTTTCTCGTGCTAAAAGTAGTGGCCCTGACAGTAACTCCAGTAAGTTGCAAGATGAATCTGATGCTGATAAATGGCTAGTCTCTTGAAATGGAAGGATATCAAATCCAAGAATATGCAATCTGCCGCAGCGAATATCAAATCCGGACAAGAAACTCGAAGCTTCGTCAGGTGGAAACCAGTACATATTGATGGATCCTGGCACGGGCAAATATGAAAGCAACTTTCTATCCATAACACCCAATAAAGCTTGTGAGAGAGCTGAGATGAGTTTAGAATCTTCGTCATGAGACGCATCACGGCTGAACCACAGAGTTAGTGTAATTCGCTCCCCTTCAGTAATCTGTATGGAAGAATCAGTGAATTAGAGAAAAGAGCTAAGAAGAAAGAAAACAGGGAAACCGAATCCTACTAACATTTTAGGCTGAAGATAAACATCTCGTATGTTTTTTAGATATCGACAAGAGAGCTAATACGGGACAGGGCATAAGAGGATGAATATTCCTAAAATTAATGAAAGATTCATTCAGACGATTCAATCTGAGAGAACGTTGATCTAGTTACAATAAATATGGAAAATGAAATGTCCATTATCTAAAGAAATGATCGGTGCACTGCACACTCTGGAGTTGTTTCCCGACCCAGCTAACTTATTGACCATGTATGACATGATCTCAGATTCTGCAGAGCAAGAGCATCATCTATCTTGGCTCAGTGACATCACAGACTAACCAGGATTTCTTTAAGTTAAAATATTTGTCTATGTAATTTGTTACACACTCCTACAAATACCATGCAGCCACAAGTTAAACCAGTTGCTTCTCTTCTCTGAAGTTGGTTGATGCATTGATCCATGTGGAAGTGGTTAAAGAATAACAATATATCTTTTTCCAGTGCCAAACTATAAATTTCCCAAGGTAGTAAGGCTTTTCATTAAAAGAAGATGACAAGATACTGCTTGTATCTGGATCTAACTTACATGTGTAGCATGCCAGTTAAACATACCATGTTATCTTTACAAAGTCAGGAAACAATGTATCTTTATCCATGAAGAGAAAATAACAAACAAATGGACACAGTGAAAGGAAGTGCAAATGCCCATTGAATCTCCTTTCTTGTTTCTTGCCCTTGCTTCTTACAAGTCGGTTAATGCTCAGGACTTCTATAACATTTGAGATTTAAGTTTGTGTTCCCTACACAGGAAATTGTGGCCTGTGGCAACTATATAACAGACTAGTCTTCCAAATGAATGAAATTTCCGTAATGACTTTAAGCTCCTCCTTCAAAAACAATATTAACTAAATGCCTAAATGGGATGATTGTGAGCTCAAAATGGTCAGAAAAGGCAAAGATTAGGCGGCTCATCTACATTGAGATCAAGAGTCTGCTAAACTGATGCAGCACATAGCTGGCAGAGTATTCGACTCTTTAGTTTGTGATCAGCCATAATGGCAGGGCAGTAACAAATTGATACAAAGTAATGCTAACTTAAGGTAACAATACCACGATCCACCCCAGCAAAATAAGGCAGGTGCAACCATATAGTTAAAGTGGAAGACAGGTTTAAGCAGGCCATCTAGATTTGGAGGGTTAAGCAACGGAGCATATAAGATAACAAACTGGAATCAAGTCCCTGACAAAATATAAGAGGGTTTGGAGTAAAGTGAAAGACGCACAAAGAGGTTCTTTTTTCATAAAAGAAGAGAGAAGATACCTCATCAACAGAATGTATATTTTGGTCATCAGCCGTGTACATGATAACATCCTAATGAGAAAGAATTATCATCAGTAAGGAAGAGCAGCCAAAAGGGGAAAAATTAAAATGGACATATACACAATAGACCAGAATGCAGATAATATATAATTTACATTTGACATATTAATCTTCACAAAAGAGCAAACGCTAGAGGCAGCTAGCAAACGATAACTTGCATGAGAAACTGACAGAGCAAAAAAACTTCCTCTTTCATGATTTACTAGATTGGAACAAGAAAGGATTGACATTGCGAGCAACAACACAAAATTCCGGAAAATATAATTTACATAACTTAAGTAGTCAAATGCACCACCAAATCCATAGATCACTTACCCCAGCCATAGGCTCAATGTCTGCAGGTTCTCCATCCTTGAAGTGAAAGATACCACCCTTGAAATCCGCATCATAACTATTTAAATAACACACTGCCTTCAACAAAAGAATTAAGAATTGTCAACTGGAGTAAGCAAATAAGGACCTCAGGATTTATGACTTAGCCAAGATATAACAGTGTGATTCAACATTGCACCATCATTACTTTAATGTTTTCCAAATATCAAATATCCAAACATTCTTTAATGTTTTCCAAAGATCAAATATCCAAGCATTCACTCATAGACCAATATCCACGACAAACCCATTTCATTAATCGTCTCTGTTACCACATTTTGACCTTATGTATGAACTACAAAGAACAAATTAATTGCATCCAGCGCCCTAGACCATGAGAAGCTACTATATGGTGCATATTAATTCAATAACTATTGCCATAGTGTAACTTGATATCATGCACAAATGCCATGTCTGATTTCCTGGGTGTTGGATAGGATATCAAAAGGTCAACCTTTTTATCAGGAATTTATGCCGCCACAAGAGCCTAAATAAATTCATTTAGAGTGTTCGTTTATAATCCCACTCCAAAACTAATCCAATCTTGATGTCCACACAAACCTTTTGTAGCTCTGCCACCTCACCTCCTATGCTAAGTTGCTCCGACATGGCAGTTTAGGTGCCGCACCTGTGTCGATATGACACTAGTATGGGTGTGGGTATGGGATCTGTATTGCATCTGGTAAAACAATTTTGCATACTTTTACCACGACGGACAGAAAAATTCGAGACAAGATACAATTTGATTCCCTAAATCAGAACCGAAATTAGGGTAAATTTGAAGAAAATAGCTTACATTATCTAGAAAATCAATCTTTTCCTTATCTACAACTTGTGAATAAAAAAGAAACCCACACTTTACAAGCTATACGTAAGTCATCAGGCATTACACATCTCTAATTGCTGAATTCTCATAATAGACATCAAAACATAGTGTCATATTCAAATAATGGCTATTCCCGACAAGCCAACTAAAGTTGGGAACTCTATCTTTCCTTTCATAATCCCCTTCCACAAGCTCACACTAAGTGGGTCTATCACTTTCTTCAAGAACCATGCGCAATCAAGGATCCACTTTGCAACTATAACTTATTTACATCAAGCATCATCCTTGAAAGCAAGTCTTTATAACCACTTATCCAACAATGCATGGTTCAAAAGTGAGAGCTTTTGAGAGCTGAACCTCCACCGAGGGACCACATTTTTCCACTCTATAAAATGATATTTTTTGTCTCCATTTGTTCAATCCCATCGAAATCCCACTATTTTCTCCAACTAATAGACAATTGATGATGGGATGCAAAACAAGGAAGATAGTCCATGGATATACTTGAAAAGGCAGACTGGCCGACCATATTCCCTCCGAGTAACTTTTTATTTCTACTTGTCAATCTCTTTCAAATTTCAAAATCACAGCTTCCGTAATTCAATCTCTCCAAAATGTCCTCAAAAGGCATCTTTAAATATTTATTAGGTAGTGAACCTACCTTGCACCTCAGCATCTGAGCCAAACTACAAACATCATGAAACAGCCCAACTAGGATGAACTCTAACTTTTTCATGTCGATATGCAGTCCATATACTGCTTCAAAACACTCAAGACTCTGAGGAGGAAGTGAAACTGCCTGGAACATAGTACAAGAAAATGAGCGTACATTTGCAACTAATGAATACGATATCGATGCATGGTTTGCGAACCTACAAAAGGTCTCCCAACCTGTTAGCCAACCTAAAGTCACTGATGCAGCTACTCTTTTCTTTTCACTAGTTTACTGAGACTCCCATGATGAAATGAGACAGTAACATGGAGAGATGATCCTAATCCCCTGCCCAAAAAGGCAGCTTGTGTTCCATTAATCATGAAAACAGAAATAAACCTGAGTGAAGAATTTAACTATATATATAACTCTTGTCTATACTGCAGTGTCGTTTAATCTGTAGGAAGATACGACACATCTTGAGAATGTTAGTAAGTTATTATGTCATACCGGATGAACATGGGAAGCAAGCCATACTATGTTATCAAAACATTCAATTTTGAGAAACATGCGAAAATTAATAAATGCATGCTGCAAGAAGAAGCAATACATTGTTCATGAAATAAAACAAAAAATATGTAGCAAATAACAACGTGGGAAGATACAACAGCAAGTCAAGAACGCACCGCGAAATCCCGTTGTTTAAGGTAAGGTCTATTATCGTCACTGTGCCAACCGATGCTTGCTCCTCGACACCAGCTGTAATTCATACAGAACATTAGCAAATTGCTAGACATATTGCTCCATAGAAGTGAAATATTTCTTGCAGGATGAAAAGAATCACATGAAACAGCAAAGTGCACATGACTATATCATTGTACTCCATAATTTGTGCATAGAGTGTACATGTGATTGATAAAAAGGAAACAAAAAAAAAACGTCCTTCACTGAATTACACTGACTCTGAATACGTAGTGTACTTGAAAGCATATCAACAAAAATATAAAGAATAAAATTCAACAGAACAACTATTTGCAGAAGTATTTGAAATACATGCAGCTTTAACTTATAAATAGTTCCAAGTCAAGCCAAGGTAAGCCCTAAGTAGTCACCCAAGGGTGTAACCTAGTGGTCAATGAAGTGGGTGGAGAATCATGAGGTCTCATGTTCAAACCTCAGCGGGAGACAAAAAACCACTAGGTTATTTCTTCCTATCTGTCCAAACCTTGGTGGATAGAGTTACCCGGTACCTGTTGTTGGTGGGAGGTGGCAGGTGTCCCATAGAATGAGTCGAGGGAAGCGCAAGCTGGTCCAGACACCACGATTATCAAAAAAAAGCCCTAAGCAGTCTTTAAGTTATTAATAGCTCTTATTCACCAAACCTTTGTTGTATTTCACCGAAAAAGGGCAGCCCGGTGTACTAAGCTCCCGTTATGCACGGGATCCGGGGAAGGGCCAGACCACAAGGGTCTATTGTACGCAGCCTTACCCTGCATTTCAACAAGAAGTTGTTTCCATGGCTCGAACCCGTGACCTCCTGGTCAACTTGTTTTGGCAAAATCCAGTTACTTAATGTCAGGTCAACTTGTGAAATACATCATGTTCACGCATCATTTGTTTTGGCAACATCCAGTTCTAATGACACCGAAACATTTGAACTATTTGTTTGTGACAATGAAGGCTAAAAACAGTACAACAACAACATACCCAGTATAATCCCACAAGTGGGGTCTGGGGAGGGTAGTGTGTACGCAGACCTTACCCCTACCTTGCGAGGTAGAGAGGTTGTTTCCAATAGATCCTCGGCTCAAGAAAAGGTGAAAAAAGAGAGAGGAAGAAGACGAAGAAGAAAGAGGAAGAAGAAAGAAAGAATAGGGGGACAAAGGACGATAAGGAAAAGGAGGGAAAGACAACTATAGTAACAACAACAACAACAACGAAACCAATAACAGCAACTAGCATCAAACAGTAACAGACTAGAACATACGATACACAGAGCGGACGAAAAAAAAAACAAGGGAGCTACTAATACTACTAAAAGAGAACGGGGAATTCTCGACTACCTACTAGCCAACTACCCTAATCTTCGACTTCCACACCTTTCTATCCTGGATCATGTCCTCAGTGAGCTGAAGTAACGCTATATCTTGCCTAATCACCTCTTCACAATACTTCTTCTGCCTTCCTCTACCCCTTCTCAGCCCCGCCACGGCCAGCCTCTCACACCTCCTAACAGGAGCATCCGTACTCCTCCTCTGCACGTGCCGAACCATCTCAGCCTCAACTCCCACATCTTGTCCTCTACAGGGGCTACTCCCACTTTGTCCCGAATAACTTCGTTCCTAATCTTACCTCTCCTGGTATGCTCACACATCCATCTCAGCATCCTCATTTCTGCTACTTTCATCCTCTAAACATGGGAGTTCTTGATTGGCCAACACTCAGCCCATACAACATAGTAGGTCTAACCACCACTCCGTAGAACTTACCCTTAAGTCTTGGTGGCACCTTCTTATCACACAAAACACCGGATGTGAGCCTCCATTTCATCCACCCCGCACCGATACTATGGGAGACCTCATCATCAATTTCCCTGTTACCCTGGATTATAGACCCGATATACTTGAAACTACCCCTCATCGGGATGACTTGGGTATCAAGCTTCACATCCACGTCCGCTTCATGAGTCTCGTCACTGAACTTACACTCCAAGTATTCCGTTTTGGTCGTGCTTAACTTGAAACCTTTAGACTCTAGGGTCTGCCTCCAAACCTCCAGCCTCGCATTGACCTCGCTCCTCGTCTCATCAATTAGCACTGTGTCATCGGCAAATAACATGCACCATGACACCTCCCCTTGAATGTGCCGCGCCAGCACATCCATCACTAGAGCAAATAAGAACGGGCTAAGAGCCTATCCTTAGTGCAACCCTATCACTACTGGGAAGTGATCTGAGTCACCTCCTATTGTCCTCACCCAAGTCTTAGCACCATCATACATGTCCTTGATTACCCTAGTGTAAGCTACCGGAACGCCGTTAACCTCCAAACATCTCCACAGAACCTCCCTCGAAACTTTATGGTACGCCTTTTCTACGTCTATAAACACCATGTGTAGGTCCTTCTTTCTCTCCTTATACTGCTCTACCAATCTCCTCGCCAGATGAATGGCTTCCGTAGTCGATCGCCCTGGCATAAATCCAAACTGATTCTTGAAAATAGACACATTCTTTCTCACCCTAACTTCCACAACCCTCTCCCAAATTTTCATAGTATGACTCAATAGCTTGATACCCCTATAGTTATTGCAGTTTTAGATATCACCCTTGTTCTTTTACAAAGGAATCATCGTACTCCACCTCCATTCTTCGGGCCACTCCACGCCTACTCTTCCAGAATTCTACTGGGATCTCATCTGGCCCAGTCGCTCTTCCCCTGTTCATCTTACGCATCGCTCCCATAACCTCTTCAACCCTAATACGCCTACAATAACCAAAATCATGCAGACTCTCGGAGTGCTCCAACTCACCCAACACAATGCTTATTGAACTTGCTAAAACCACAAGCTTCTGATGGATTTTATCCAACTTGTATTTGGGAAAATCTATCATCTACCGCCACAAGAGATGTCCTAAGTTCCAAGAAACTTCACTCTTATACGTAACTGAACGCAAAGTCTTTTCCTAGTTGGACGGACTTTAATGGTTTCTATCAATTATTATTAATTCTAGAACTTGAAAAGCATATACAGCAACAACAATCCTTTGTATTCATTCCACTCTATCAAAATAGTTGCAATAGCTTGTATATGAATCCTCTGTATACATTTCACTCTATCCAAGTCCATTCACTATTTAGAGGTTGACTATTTTTACAAAACCTACATGTTGTGAACGTGGATAACTACAATAATGCTTATGGGTTAGTTACTTGGACAGAGGCTAGCCAAATTGTTGGGCCTAGGGCTAAACTACGAAAAGGCCAAGGAATTAGACAACCCAACAAGATATTTTCTTGGGATTCAGGTTGAGTAGGGAAGCACGTGACAAATGGATATAAGGGGTTCATCGACAGTTTTGGGAATTGTGATTATGCTTAGGCAAAGTCTGTGCTGCTCATCTCTATCTTTCTAGTGTTTGAAACTTATCATCCCCTTCTGGTTATTCTTTCCTTGTTCCTCTAATTCCTAGTTAATTGTTCTTTATTCTATTAGTATTTCCTATTTCAGTGTAATTCCGTTCAGTGATTATAATATACAAGTCTGCGTTTGTGTTGAGAAATTAGGTTCAATACATTGGTGTTTTCATCGTTCGTACTCCAACAATAATGGTGGTATTGGATCGATTTAGCGGCGGAAACCCAGAGGGTAGGATTTTTCGGGATGAGCTGTGCTTCACCTACCTTGGCTTCTCCGAGAAGGACTGGTTACTTCTTCCTTATCATCACCTTGATGGCGAAGCTTTTGCTTGGTTTGATTGGTTGTTCCGAAATGAGCAATATTTTGATTGGAATCATTTTAAGGAGAAACTGAAGCTGCGTTTTCGCACCCGAACTAGAGAAGCACCTAGCGGTTGGGTGCTTAGTCGTTCACCGTCAATGCAAGCCAATGGAGAATTTTATAGCACGAGCTACGGCTATTCCATCGTGGTGCAACATTAAGACCTCAACCTCGCCTCAATATTGGAATAAGCATTCGAAAATGAACAACTTGAACCTGGCATACGAGGTGTTCGAGGAAATGTCAGTCACCTTTCAAGGTGATGAAACCAAAATCTGACTTGGAAGATGGCGACTCACAAGAAGAAAGGATGTTTGATGGAAATCCCACACAAACCATTGACAAGAACTATGTCTCTCCAACTGCTACGGCATTTGTTTGCGATGCTGAAGCTGAAACAAATACAACCAATTTTCTGGTACCTTTTAATAGTAGAGAGGATGTAGCGCCGAAAGAGATTGCGAGCCCTGCTGAAGTCACACATCCATTTGAAAATGTCATATCGCTTCACATTCGCAGTACATGCTTGTGGAAATTTTTTGATAAGCAGTTCATGATGGCTAGTGGGGTCTCAGATATTGAAAAGTAATGTTCCTGGCGAAATTTTTTTTTTTGGTTATGAAAAACCAACCAGGGATGAAGAGTTCGCGTTAATAATTAAGCAGCCATCACTATGTGATTTTCGACTTGTAGTTTCTGGTTACATAGTACCACATCACCCTACTACTTTACCCTATAAAATATTGGCTATCGAGTTGAATTTAGTATGCTTATTATCTGTTCATGTTGGATTGCGATTCGCTCAACGAACGACCTATGGGGAGATTTGCTTTATTCTCAAACTACATAATGAAATACTATACAGAAATATGGTCCAAGAAATTGTAATTCTATCCGGTTATCCTTGGAAGGGTGGAAGCGAAAAAGGATTCATAATTTCATTGAATGTCTTGGCTAGTGATGTGGTTGGCATCACATACCTCCCTTCTAATTATTCACACTCAACAACAAGAACAAAGTTGGAGTTGCTCGAGCCGCAGGTGGTTGCGGTTGTAGAAATTTCTACTATCAGCTATTCACGCGATGCAATTGGTTTAAGAGTAGATCGTGGGAGCATTGAATATCAGAGTGGACCATCATCTTTTGAGGACGTGTATTCTCTGCACTTTGTGATGAAACATGGTGCTGGAGAGAAGCTATTTGATAGAACCATTGCCCAAGGATATTCGTTAGAGAATGATGTTGCTGATAATTTTGGACAGCATCCAACTGTAGTCCCTAACTATTTCGCGGTTGTTATGCATAAGAATCTTAAGCCAGAGAAGCCTTCATTATGGATTAATTCTACAATCTATTTTCCCTGTGACCTTGTCCTGCTTGATATTCACAAAGTTTTAGATGGTTGCTGGAATCAATTGCTTATTGGACATCCTAGAATACTTCTCCCTCGACATCGACTTGGGCTTGCCCAATTCTTGGAGGAGTCTTGTTAGCATCAACTTTTACCTGATGAACTTCGATTAGACTGCCCATTTGATCATGGCTCTGCTGCTTTAATCAGGGTGCAGTCACCTCAGAGGAAATTAGAGGACCACTTTACACTCTTAGATCCGAGTAGGCAGCATGTGTTTAAGCTTTCTGAGTACTAGGACGACGATCTCTTGAGACTTCTGAAATGTGTTGAATATCATGGACTGTCTATTCATGTGGTTAACAAGTTTATTACGCCGGTTAACCTTCAGTTGAGAAAACATGAGGGAGTTTTTAAATGTCTGTCATGGTTCTCTCTAGATTTCTTCATGATTATTCTGATTGATAAGTATGTGTATGTCAAAGTTGGTTGGTTGGACAACGGGAGAGGGATACTCGATGACAAGAGGGATACTGTGCTTGAGTCTTCTGTACCACCAACTACCATCTATAGTGGTTTCCATGAGATGCTTCTTGGAGCTTTTGAGTTTGTCCAGTCTAGTAAGCCTGTGCTTGCCCTTAGTCCTGCTGATGGGAATCCCTCAATTAGAAGAGGAGCTATCAGACGCTTGTGTTTTGCTTATGTTAGTGCTTCAAATGAACAGATCTTTGGTAACTCCACTCTTATGCTTGGAGATGTTGTAACGCTTATTGTAAATGCTTCCAATGTTAGATTTTTGGATCTGATTTGTGGTTGCTCCTGCAGTAAAATGTTTTTCCAGCATACAATAATTTCTTGGATACACCAGAATGGGTCAAAGTTGAAAAGCCCGTTGATTGTCTCTTGCTTGGAGATGTTGTAACGCCACTCTTATGCTTGGAGATGCTGTAACGCTTATTGTAACTGCTTCCAATGTTAGATTTTTGGATCTGATTTGTGGTTGCTCCTGCAATAAAAAGTTTTTCCAGCATACTATAATTTCTTGGATACACCAGAATAGGTCAAACTTGAAAAGCCCGTTGATTGTCTCTTGCCTTTTGACCTTGAAGACCCATATGTTGACCAACATGGGAAAGCAAAAGTTACGCCTAAAGCTTCAAAGATCATCACAGCCACTATGACTATGCTACAAGGACGTACTCTAGGAGACCGGATAACTTTGGCAATAGGACCCCAGTTCAGTACCAAGCTTGTGTTAGTAAAAAAAAATGCAACATACTCCTTGGTGTTGTCTCACAAGCAGTTTATGGTGATCTGCATGTCATTGGAGTAGATACACACTTATTCATGCCTCAAGAGTTAACTGGTACTCTAATAAAGCAAGTGCAAGTAGAGATGATTCTAGTGGAATTCATCTGTAGAATAATAGCTACTTTGCTATTCATTCCAGTATTTTGTGGCCTATGAAGTATTCAAAGGGAACACAGGATTTATCTCATTATGACCTTGCCCAAAATGAAGTAGACTATGCAGTCACTATTGTTGTGCCAGGCATGAATAGAGCTTGGTATAGTGCTCTTAATTCTGCTCAAGAGAAATTTGTAGGTGTGTGTCATCCAGTGAACTTCACGCCTATTGAAGTCAATATAACTAGAGCTAGTTTACCAAAGCCTTTGATCCAGAGATTTCTTGACTTGAAACTTGAGGAGACAAGGTTCTTATTGAGGAGGGGGGTATTGTTGTGAAGATGGATAACTAAGATAATGCTTATGTGCTAGTTATTTGGACAGAGGCTAGCCAAGTTGTGGGGCTTAGGGCTAAACAATGAAAAGTCCAAGGAATTAGACAGCCCAACAAGATATTTGCTTGCGATCCAGGTTCAGTAGGGAAGCACGTGACAAATGGATAAAGGGGGTTCATCGATAGTTTTGAGCAGTGTTGTTGAAAGCTGATAGAAACCATAAGTAGATTACAAAATAAATAGAACAAAGAAGTTAATATTATTGGCAATAGTTTGTGCAAGAATCTTAAACACAACTACACCAATAAAGTTGTCCGTACGAAGAGGACGATGCTCCAGAATAAAGTAGTTTTGATTCTGATAATGATACATACACATTACAGGATCTATTACTTATACAATAGGCTGACCATAACTACTGCATAACCTATTAGGATAAAGATAAATAACTTCTAATAACCATAATAAAACTGCTAAACAGATAACTTCTAATAAACTTCTAATAACTGAAAGCTCCAGGAATTATCTTTCTCCTAAATTTCTTTGCTTCTTCTGAAAGATAAGTGGCTTATCAGTACACCCCTCCTGGAAAGACGACTTGTCCTCAAGGCGAAGTTCGAGAAATTGTGCCCACATCAGTAGGAAACATGTCATTTTTGTTGTTATCTTTCACAATCTGTGCGTCGTTCTCTTCTTGCATCAACTCCAGATGAGCAAAAGTCCCAAGTTTGCAGCGATGACCAGGGCTAAACTTTTCTCCACAACGATAGCAAAGGCCTTTGTCTCGCCGAATTTGTTGTTCAGGAGTCGACGGGCGAGTGTTTTGGAAGTGATGGTGGTTGAAAAGGACGTGTAACTGGCTGGCGGGATGACAGGAAATCGAAGGATTCTCGAGCCGCTAGAGATGATATCCCAACCGAAGGAGGTCGTGATACAGAAGGCAAAGTGGGTGCCTTACTGGACCGATTAGGTCCCTGTTTTCCTTCATATTCTAAAGCCAGGCTCATTGCCTTGTACATAGATCGAGGTTTGTGAATCCTAACGTCCACGCGAAGGTCTTCTTTCAACCCACTGAGGAAAACTCCAAGCAACAGTGTTCTGGCCAATTTTGCACACGCGCTGCTCGTTTTGCAAATTCTTGCCTATACTCAAACACTGTTCCAGTTTGTTGGATATCACAGAGATGTTCATCAGGGTTTTGAAACTCAGCAGGCCCGTAATTTTCTTGCATTACTTTCACCAATTCGTCCTAATAGTAAATGGTTCGCTCACTGTTGATCCAAGCAAAAAGATCCAGTGCATCTCCTTCCAAGTACATCGAAGCCACATCAACCTTGCATTCCTCAGAAGTTTGATAGTACTGGAAATACTTCTCTGCTTTTAAAATCCAGCCTCTAGGATCTCCTCCCTCATACTTTGGAAATTCCATCTTTGTCCGTGAGCGCCGGAAAGTTTCTCGATGCCAAGTGCTGTTAACCTCACCCTCTTCTGGTGTGGCTTTAGCTTTCCCTTTATTGTTGTGATCTCCACTGTGTTGTGCTTTTAATGCAGCCACATCAGCGGCTAAAGCATCTATGGCTTCCAATTTCGCTGCTATAGTCGTCAATTGTTGGGAAATCGGGTCAAGATTAGGAATGGTGGATTCACTGTGGGAAGCGTTGGTCCGTGTGTTCACCATGGCAGATCTTACTGCTCTGATACCAATGATAGAAACCAAAAGTAGATAACAAAATAAATAGAAGGCGAAATGGCTTCCTGGCCACTTAAACTTGTACCGGATTTTAAAGCCGATATACAAACTTTCATTATTCCCATTTGAACACTCGAACTTGACCGACTGAGTACAAATAAATACATTCAGTAGTGCGTGTATTCAATTGCGCTTACATGTACAACACGTCATATACTAGACTATTTATTACTTGACATGTGTTATTTGTGGGTCCTATTATTAAATACTAAATAAGCAAAAAAAAAGTCACAAATTAAAAAAAAAAAGAAAAAAGAAAGGGAGGAAAAGACCTGACATCCGTTCACCCACCTCTCCCTTCTTCTCCGTTCACCCACCTCCATTCCTTTCCTTAATTTTTTGTTTTTTTTTCCTTTTCTTCAGTGTCCTTTCTCTCTCTTATTTCTAAATCAAGTTTCGTTTGCTACTGAATTGCTTGCCATTAGAATCCTCATCACTATCTGCACAATCATATTATATTTTCCATCGGTATCATGTGCAGTTTTCTCTTTTTCACTTTCATCCAATTGGTATTCAGCTAACATCTATATATTAAGGAGTAGGGTAAAAAGTTATTACGTTCCTTAAATATTTTGAAACGAAGACAAAGCTTTCATTGAATGGAACAACGAAAACAAACTTTTGTTTCCATAGCAGCTTGGTCCCGATCGCGATGTTAGTCTTAGTTGTTTTGATTTGGTTGTTTATGTGTAAAAACTTTCGCATATGCGCATGACATAATATATAAAGGTAGATTATTTTCCTTTTCCGTCTTCGATTAGGTTTTGCGTCCGAGAAATTTCTTGGGGGAGGACGACAATGGGGGAAAAGAACACTGGGGTGAATGGAATTTTACTGGGGATGGGGAAGTGGGCCTGGTTTATTTTCTTTCTTTTTAATTTGTATTTTTTTTTGTTCTAGATTTTTTTAAATCAAAATTAGTGTAGTCACGCGCGTAATTTTCGTGACTTGTACACACTTTGTCCACATCATCTCTGTCACTGCCACATGTGCATGGTCAACGGTCAAATAGGTTTATTAGTTACCGGATATGCGAGTTTGAGTTTTCAAATGGGAATAATGTAAGTTTGTATATCGGCTTTAAAATTCGATACAAGTGGCCAGGAAGCCATTACGCCTAAATAGAACAAAGAAGTTAATATTATTGGCAATAGTTTGTGCAAGAATCTTAAACACAACTACACCAATAAAGTTGTCCGTATGGAGAGGACAATGCTCCAGAATAAAGTAGTTTTGATTCTAATAATGATACCTACACATTACAGGATCTATTACTTATATAATAGGCTGACCATAACTAGTGCATAACCTATTAGGATAAAGATAAATAACTTCTAAAAACCATAATAAAACTGCTAAACAGATAACTTCTAATAAACTTCTAATAACTGAAAGCTCCAGGAATTATCTTTCTCCTAAATTTCTTTGCTTCTTTTGAAAGATAAGTGGCTTATCACTATTTTTCTATTATGATGTCAGAGTTGAATAAAACTTCAGTCTTTTTTCTTAATCAGTTTGCGGCTTTGAGATATTTGCTAGAAATAGTATCAGACAGAAGTTCATTAGGGAAAGGAAGAATACTTGAGTAGTCTGCATTTTCTTTGCTCCTTTAGTTGCTTGAGTTTCTTACTCGTGTGCTCGTTAAATCGGCAGTGTCAATCCATTCAGACTTATTGGAGTTGGACTGACAGTGTGGACGTTAGCTGTTGCTGGTTGTGGTTTGTCAATTAATTTCTGGTTGATTGCAACATGCAGAATGTAAGTCTAACCATGCTACTCTTCACAAGCTGTCCTGTATTACTTGCAAATGTTATCGGAGTGACGGGTGGGTGGAGGGAAGCTTATCTTTTTTTTAAAATTAATATGTTTCCTTTTTCAGGTTTGTAGGTGTTGGTGAGGCATCTTTCATAAGCCTTGCTGCTCCTTTTATTGATGATAATGCCCCTGTTGCTCAGGTTTGGTTTTTTAAATTAATGATTTTTGTGACTGGGCTAACTTCCAGTAAATGCCACATGCTATACTGCTGGTCTTTTATTTCTATATTAAGGCTGTTTATATTCTGGCTAGATTTGAATGTTGTGGTGCTTTTTATTTTCTATTGCTAATATGATGTGTTGTTGTTCTGCATATACTTACATTTCATTATTGTTGCAACAATTTAAGCTTACACCAGTTATGTGTATGATAAGAAATGAACCTTTGGGTCGAACTTAATCCCAAAAGCTAGCTCAAGAGGTGAGGATTGCCCAAAACCAAATAAGGAGACAACAACCCATTTCCTCCACCAATGAGGGCACCTAACACCGCCCCCCATCCCCACCCTCCGGCGCACCTATAATTAAAATTTTGGAGCATGGGCAAATAACATGGGTTCCATATTTGGGTAAACCCAGAAAAGGAATGAGTTTGGCTCTAATACGATGATAAGAAATGGACTTTTGCATCTTGTATATTTTCTGCATGCTTATTCTCCTCTATCTTTTTTGCAGAAAACAGCATGGCTGGGAATATTTTACATGTGTATACCAGCTGGGATAGCAGTTGGCTATGTATATGGTGGACTGGTGAGCTCACTCTTCAGTGCTTAAGTTTAATATTTTCTTGTGGAATGTGATCCATTGTGCATACCAAGTTTTACCAAACTCTCCACACTGTGATAGGTTGGTGATCATCTTAACTGGCGTTGGGCATTTTGGATCGAGGCAATACTGATGCTTCCCTTTGCAGTTTTAGGTTTATTTATGAAACCATTGCAATTAAAAGGTAATGCTAAATTAGTCTTTTCATCTTATTCTATATACATTTTCTGATATGTTCCAAGTCTTTATACAGGATTCTCTCACACCGGATCTAAAAAACCATTGACCTCTCCCCTGACTGCTCCAGAAGAAGGTAGTGCCTATTATCACAGACTCTTTGTCTACCTAGAGTAAGAGGGGTGTCTGATTCTTGTCCTAACTTTGATCATTTTGCTCTCCATGCCCTACCTTCTCTTGATTTTGTGCTTCAGAGTTTCACTCTGCTCAACTTTGTTACTTTGTGAAAGAAAATGATGTTGGGAAGAGTCTTTGTTTTGAAAGAAAATGTTAAAATGTTTTTAGTCAATGATAAAAGAACTAGGGACCTAGTCGAACTCCTCGCTTGCTAAAATGGAAAAGCTATTTTTCGGGACTTCTGTGCTTAGAGTTTGTCCATAAATATCTTTTGTAGTAATTAAAGAAGTTTAGGATAATCCAAAAATAAATAAAATATGCCGTAGCTTGCAGTTCTTCATTCTTATCAGCTTGATAATAGTCTTTGTAAGGGGTTTGACATCTTGATATAAATATAGTAATAAGTCAAAGTGGTGGGAAATAGGTTAAGATAATTCAACAACAAACAGTTGTATGGTGCAATTGAATGAAGATTTATTGGCTATCCTCTCGTATCTGTGAGCTTGACTATTGTTCTTAGCTTTTTTCCCCCTTTAGGTGTTCTGTTTACACTTGTCATGGTGGTTTCTTGAATGCACAATAATTTGACCCCAACTCTTGTCATTAATGCAGCTGTTTCAAATTGTAACCATGGTTTGTTACCATCACAGGAAGATTCCAAGGATGGGTAAGGAACCTTCATATAACCGGTCAGATGCTGTTACTGGTCTTAAGACAGCCAACATTATCACCATCCCTGCAAACATGATTAACAAAAGCAATACGCCTTCTGCTATCACTCATCTGACCTCTTTCTTGTCTACGTTATTTTCTTCTCTTTTCTACAGTTCAAAAAGTGCACCTAGTAATTTGAATCAGCTGACAAGATTTTGGAAGGATATGAAGGTGCTTCATCTTGAAAAGGTTTATCTCGTCAATGTCTTAGGTATTTTATTAACTTGCCTTACCTCCAACCATCTCATGCTACGTCTTCTTTGGATGCTGATATTGGAACAAGTTGACGCACATTTTTTGAACGTCTTTACTTCTTTGTAAAATAAAAAGATCTCACCTATGCATAAACTTGTTATGCATTGTTGAAAAGGTAGGTTTCTACACACTGATTCTGAACTTGAGTGGTTTCTTGCAGGATACATCGCATATAATTTTGTAATTGGTGCGTATTCCTATTGGGGACCAAAGGCTGGTTATAACATATACCATATGGTAAGCTCTTGGGGCCACTATTCCACTTCACAACTATTCTCAAGGGATAAGTTTATATTTGCATGATTCTATTGATTGTTGTCTTTCTCTGACCCTTGGATTCGCATTTGTAAGTTACTATATACAAGTGAAATGAGCTTGATTTGACATACCCCATCCACTTACAATTTTTTGGTTTGTGGACCAATCAAATATCGCAAAAGCATTAAGTTCATGTTAGCTGATTTGCAATTGTTGTCTCCACAGAAAAATGCAGACATGACGTTTGGAGGTATTACTATAGTATGTGGAATAATGGGAACCTTGGCTGGAGGCCTTGTTTTGGATCGAATGAATTCCACAATATCCAATGCCTTTAAGGTGGGTACTTTTGCATTCCTAAGATTCTGTTTAATCTCTAGAAGCATTTCTCATTTAATCTAGTGTCTAATGTGAATATCATTCTTTGTTAATTGTAAAACAAAGAAGACTTTCTCAGTCAGGGGATAAAGAGTGCCCCAGAAGAACTTATTCTTTTGGCTTTTACAATTACAACTCTTTCTCCTTGCGTTAATTTACTCAATTCTGCTGTTTTTTACCTACGAAGTTCAATTTTGATGTTAATCACACCTATCTTCTCTTCTGTTATTTTTATCTGAATCTTTCAAAACCCTGCTGCTAATGATGTCACTATTATGTACTGCAGCTTCTCTCAGTGGCAACATTTCTTGGAGCAATATTTTGCTTTGCTGCCTTTTGTTTTAAGAACTTATATGTTTTCATCGCTCTTTTTGCGATAGGAGAACTGCTTGTATTTGCAACACAGGTAATTCTATCATCTAATAAGTATTCTATGTAAAATAGGTTGTTTCTTTGTACAATAGCTCAATGTGGAGTATTACACTAGGGAATGCTTTCTGCAAAATGATTCTTTCCCTACTTTCGTAGTTCCTTTGTATTATTATATAGGTGATCAAGCGTGTCATTTTCTTCGAGGCAGAAAATGTTATTTAATTACTAAAATTGCCTGGATGGCTGATCTTATTGCCCATGCATCCTTTTCTCTTTCTTCTGAAATTCTGCAAAGAGTAATCGGTCTTTTATTTAGTTGCCTGAAACATCTCATTGATTTACGATGATGCTTAAATAGTTGTATTTAAGGTTGGAACTGTTGTATTGAGTGCTTTATTTCATCTTACAGTAAAGCCTCTGACTGCAGGGCCCTGTAAATTATGTCTGTCTCCATTGCGTCAAACCAAGTCTTAGACCACTATCTATGGCGATGTCTACTGTTTCAATTCACATATTTGGTGATGTACCTTCCTCTCCTCTAGTGGGGGTTGTCCAGGTTTGTGCTTGCTCATTCAAAATGTTGATCTTGTTTTATAACTTGTCTTTCCTTCTTTTAGGAGTTCTTTTTTCAAAAGATAAACACACACACATACACATATATATAGTACATTGAGAGTTTCTAGTATATAATCCTCAGGTAGTCTTGAACAAAACACTTCATTAGAAACGAGAGAGGGAAATCAAAATACACAACCTAAAAAATATTATGTTCGCTTTCCCTATGTGCTAATGTTAGGAATTACGGCCTATCATAACATCATTATGTTTCCCTTTAGAAAGGACACTTAAATGGGTTGGGTGCACATGCTTGTTCAATCAAATCATAACTCATATGTAGAGCGACATTCAAAGCAAATTGAACCTTCCAAGCTTGCTCTTTTAGCAACCCTTCTATATTTTTTGCATGAATGCTCCATATTTGGCATCTCTAGTTGCCTCTCAATATGGATCGCCCGAACTTAGAATCAGCTGAGCACTTGAGATATATTTGTGTCATTTGACTCATTGCAAAATCATTGACACATGAACACAGAAGTCATTATAGAAGGATTAGTTCTGGTGGTGAAATGTACTATCTATATGAGAATTTACTTTCTTTACCTCCTCTCATAGTAATAAATAAAATAACTTACAATCTTCAATATTAGTTCTGATAAAAGGGAAATCTGTTGTAGTCCCCAGGGCTTCAGTTTAGTGGTAAGAGTGCAGCACGTGATGGTGGGTGAGACGCACGTCATGGGTTTGAATCCTGCCGCAAACAAAAGCCTGGTATTTAAGTGGAGAAGGGTATGGGGCCCTCGTCGATTTCTCAGTTATAGAAAAAGGGAAATATGCTGAGTGAGAGCAGGATGGTTCTCTTTCTCCTTCAATAGTCTTTTTCTCTCTTTAGTCATGAAAATGGAAGTACAAGCTGCTTCTATTTAAATCTATTGTTTAACATGATACATGAAAGACATGACAAGCCCGTAGGCTGGCTTCCAAGAACTAGCCTAACCGTTAAATTTAATATTGGACAAGGTCAATTATGGTGAAGCAGTAGTAAAAGTTTTTTTTTTTTTTAATTGTTAGCAGTAGTAAAGTTATGTTGTAACAACTTTATAGTTGATTTTATGGTTCTTGATAACATTGATCAATATTCTTTTACATTTCTCTTTTACAGGACCGCATTGACAATTGGAGAGTAACTGCTTTGATCTTGACATCAATTCTATTTATAGCCGCTGGAATATGGTTTATAGGTATAGTACACTCCTGTTAGAACGCCTCAACTCCAAATCTTTATCCTTTAAATGAGGCCTACTTGATGTCACATCGGCAATAGATTTTGGGTTTTTATTGATGAATTATTTTAATGTATTTGTATGTGTAGGCATCTTTCTTCATAGCGTAGATAGATTTGATGAAGATAGTGAGGATGAAGTAAGTGATGCTGAGAGAGCAAACTCACCACCGTTGCTTGAGAAGAAAAGTACTGAACCGATTGAGGTCTCTGTCGAATCCTAATATTTCGTTGTGTAGCTGCCACAAATGAAATGTAAATCCGTTGGTTCTTTTTCTGGATAATTTGTTTTTCGTCAGCTTTCACGTACCTTGACCATTCCTTCTGCGTACCTGTTACCTCTCACCAACACAGTCTACCCAAAGGCTTAATGTAAATTCTTTATTCTTTTCTGTGTAAATAATGTTGCACTCCATAAAGAGAAGTGGTTGAAATGTTCATATTGATATCATCAAAAGTAGCTACAACATTGAGTTTTGGCTTACCATTGACGACATTATTTTATATTATTTTCTGTAGTTATAATCTTGCTTTGTTTTTGTCCTTTCGGAAAAGCTTTTATTTTGCATGTTTTCACAGTGCAACTATTCATACGAATTAAATAACTTTGCAAGTGATAGAGAAGGAGTAAGATGTTTTTTTGATCCATTTTGTTCTATTCAGGTCCTAAATCAAAAGATTATTTAAAATATCACAATTATTCCCACGTAAATATACAAGTTTTAACCACAATAGAACCACTTCACAAATATTACAAATAATGCAAGTCTAACAACAGTTAAGTCTTTAATCTCAGTTGGTTGATACTGCCTACATTGATTATATGCTTCCATGGTCTGTTGTTCACTACATGATTCAGACAGATTATAAGTTTTTTTTAAGATAATTTTCTTCCACGTGATTTTAAAGTTTTTTAAGATAATTTTCTTCCACATGATTTTAGGACCTACAATCGATCAACACATTGTCGCGCATACAGTATTAACCCACATGTATAAATTTGTCTAGGGCCCGCAATGATAACATATTTCCATTTTGCAAAGATAGTTTACTAGGTGAAATAAAAAAGTTTGGAATAATCGTACTTGATAATTATATCACCCCATTTACTAAAATACATTTAGATAACTACTACGTATTCAATATGCACACTTCTGAAATTTCTCTGGTTGAAAAGAACGCTTCTAAATTTGGTCTTTAGATGACATTGCTACATAGAATTTTCATTACCTATTAAGATAATTGATTTATGTAGTATCAAGAACCTACAGAACAATGGCTAAGAATGGCTTAGCCAAACTAATGGAAACAATAAGTCTAGCATCACGTGAGACATTGAAGCTTTGTTAATTACTTAAAGATAAACCCATTTTTACCTGTCCTTTCAAAAAATTAGCTGGTGGAATTGGAGAATGAAGACCAATTCATTTATCAGTAGACAGTACTCCTGTTTTCATCCTGGATAAAATTTAAAAACACTACTGCATGAACAAAATTATGGATGATGAAGTAGAAACAGTAACATTTTTAACAAAAACCCGTCTTAAGAATATGAATTGACTTCCACCTCAGAAGCGAAGAGCATAATCCCGAGGCCATTTTCCACGTCCAGTTTAGGTTACAAGCAGGAAAACTAGCTGGCTCAAGCTCTATCAATTGGCATCTATACAAGTGAAAGCTCACCAGCAGGGATAGATCTCTTGACAAGCTTTGCCCAAGATTCATTGGTTTCCGTAATAACCTTAAGAGCGTAATCCTGGCAGAGCAAGGTAAAGAGATCATTAGCAGGATCATGTAGAGCAAGTGAAAACTGGCACAAAACCTCTTTATCCGACAGGAGGGAACATGGAGAGGTGTTAGCACGTGTTCTAATTACTAATATAATTATTATACTTATGCCATTGTGTGCTGCACTGAATCAAAAGCAACTGCAAGATCTTGCAGTTATTTTGATGAAGTAAGAGAGATTATAAAAAGCATCAAGAAGATGCAAAAGAGCACTGTCCAGGTGCTAATACAAAAGAAGATATGCTAGCTCTGTACAGATTCGGGGGAGCTAATAGGGGAGAGGTTACTCCAGCTATATAACAAAATTGTACAATTATACAAAACTATACGAGAGGGTGGAAAGATTTCATCTTCAACTAAAATAACATGATGGTATGCAAAACAAGCAACTGCCAATTTTCGAAGCAGTACTATCATGTCTATTTGAAAATTTAAGTTAGGTCTGTCTGAAAGTATCACGTTTCAAGAAACGAAGGGGAAATAGAAACAAGGATCTTCAAAGATACCACATTTGCCAGAACATGTATGAAAACAATTACCTTGTTTGCTGGCTTGTTGCCAAGAGCAAACCTATTGGCAGGTTTTCCATCAGGTATCTTATAGTCTCTAAACCAGTCCCTGATTGCTGTGAGAGTGCCCTGGAAAATTCACAGAATTAGTTTGATCAATGTTGACAATGACCTAAAGGAGGGAATGACTTTTTTCATGCAATGTGACATCAAAGGTAACAAAATACTAAAAGGAACACAGGAACCAGCACTTCTTATACAAGTGCTTTTGTCTCCACGAAACAAGTTATATCAATGTTACTATTTGGTTATAGGAAACAAAAGGAACATTCGCATAAATTTAGAATTTTGCATGCCTCTGCTATCTCTTATTCGGTGGGACTAACCGTTGATAATGAAGCCATATCCTATAGCTGCCACTCCATGGGATCTTTGTGTATGCCCTTATTTCTCCAGTTATCATCACAACTTAAATGCTTTGCCGTGGCTTTGCATCGATAGCCTTGAATACTGCTAAATTAATTTAAAGTCTCTCATTCCAACAAAATATGCAGCTAATTTCAAAAATCATCAAGATCACTCAATTTTATGCATATATTCTTTTCATTATTTCTATTGCTGTTCCTAAGCGATGATCACTGGTCAACACTTAACTTAAATTAGACATAAAAACAGTAAAACAGTGGAAAACTAGTCTGAGGTAAGCATATGAAAATTGAAAAGGAGATTCCAAGACAAATATCTTAAACTGAGGAGACATATTGCAGCACAATAAAAAAGAAGAAAGAGAGTGATGCATAAAAGTGTTGCACAAGCATAAGCAATTGGGAAAAAAAAAAAGCATAATCAGTGGGAGAGAAAGGAGAGTCAACAAAAGATAGCAGCTTTATTGCCCTTCAAACATACCGGAAAATGTTTCTCTACATCATCAACATCATTAACAAGTGAAGCTCTTGGATCGTCTAGTGAAATAGCAACTATTTTCCAGTCAAGTTCTCCTTCATCAATCATTGCCAGAGCAGCTAAAGGTTTGACCTTCAGAACCTGGCCAATTTTGCCACGGCTGTCTCCAATCTCAACAACATCAACTACAAATGGAAAGACCATAAGAGAGATTCAACCGGTTATGACAATCTCTAACACCATTCTTTTGTCTATTCTTTTTAATATTGTAGATGGACCAGAAGAAAGTTGTTAACTATCTAAAATTATAGAATGATACCAGGATCATTATCTCCAAATGCCCCCTCAACTTCAGAGTTTGCAAAAGACGGATCTTCCCATGTTTGAGGAAGCAATCCATAGTTCCAGTGAATGTTATATCTGAGAATTGCACAAGAAGTGCATAAGAATTAAGATCAAACTCAAAAACTGTAGACATCAGAAAATGACAATTTCTCGCAGCTATGATGACACTACATCAGTGAAGAACAAGTCTTATCAGTTGAAGATTGTGGAATCAGTGCGTCCAACGATGCTAAACATGAAACACTAGGTAACATACCAAAACCTAAGACCGACCCACTTCGGTTAACTCATAAAGACAGTCACTTTCAAATAGCATAGGTCAAAATCCTTCCCTCCGCACCCCCTTTTTTCTTTTTTGATGAATGAGAAATCCGTTTGGGGCTGCCTGCAGCCTTCGAAACATGGGGATAATGGGCCCTCTACCCCTCTCCACTTAAATAACAGCCTTTATTTGCATGACGCAGGGCTCGAACCTGTGACCTAAATCCTTCCCTCCCCACACCCCTCCTTATTTTTTGGATGACCGAGAAATCTGTCTGGGGCTGACCCTTAGGACAGTTAGAAGCCTTCCAAACTCGGGGATAATGGGCCCACCTCCCACCCTTCCTATCCCACTACAAGGGAAGCTGGTAGGAACCAGCAAGATAGTTACATCTCAAGATATATTATACTAAAAGAATGTGCAAAAGTGACAAAATAGGCTTACGGATAGTATCGAAGTTTGCCCTTCTTTGTGTCTTGTTTAATAGGAGTGTGTTTCTCATCTGTAGCAACTTCCATCTTTGCACTTGATTCTTTGGGGATCTCAACAACAAAATTGAATATACCATCACCCAAATGTAGTGGAATGTCATGCCAGGGGGATATCTGCACATTGTATAGACATGATCCAATCAAACTGTAACTATTTTCTCTAGATAGACTAAAAGCTACAATTTTTAGTAAGTAAACATTAACAAAATAGAAATAGGTTCACGTTGGATTAAAATCCAAGAAATACAGCAGTATAAAAGTGTGACCTTTTTGCCAGAATTGTCCTCTAGAAAGACACGGTAATCTAGGGTTTCGGGCTGTCCTTCTTCTTTGGTTTGAAGCTGGGGATTGTAGATAGCACTGCAAGTGAAAAGACGCCTTTTTTGCACAGGTCCGTTTCTGAAGCAAATGCTAAAACTATTGGGCCTTCGTAATGGACCTTTCGATAGAAGCGAAGCTGTTACAGTGTTGCTGGCTGATACCATCACTCTTGCCGCCGCCATTGCTGCTTTTTCCTGGCGAGAAATTGGAGAAGATGGATGAAATTCAGTGACTGCTGCTATCACTGCATAACTTCAGCCACATATACATATCTGATTGGTTAACTGGAATTTTCGTTTTTTATTTCTTATTTTTCTAAGTGCTCCCACTTTTGTTATCTACTCCACGTTTTACATCTTTTTATTTCTTGTCTTTGCTTCTTCTACCCATTTTTTAATCAAAATAGCACAGGCTAACTATTGTTTGGATTGATAGTCGAAAAATAACTATTATTTGTGAAGTTATTGAAAAATAGTCATTATTTTGCTGAAATACAAAAATTTCTAGCATAATATGAGGGATTATGGAGCTCATGTGTATAAACTTTCAGCATATTATGTGGGAAGCTCATATGTAAAAATTCGAACTCCAACATATTATTTTGAATTTTTAACAGTGTTGTTCAGATTTTATCTTTACATAAAAAGTTGCTAAATTTTAATTATTTTTGAAACGGTAGCTATTTTTCAATTATAGTTGTAAATCTAGCTATTTTTTAAATTTGGCCACATTTTTTGTCCATTTGTACTTTTCTCGCTCTTTCGTCCATTACCCTTTTGTTGACTTGTTCCATTCAAAATAAGGATATTGAATAGTAATTTATATCAAGATCTTAGTATCAAGATAATATCGGTTTTAGTTAATATCTTACCGGATAAATTTAAGTTTAA